AAGTGCGTCTTCGGCTCTCCTTTGACGCTCTTAAGAGATGCCTTCTCTTCAAAAGATTCAATCTTTTTTCTGCAACCAATGGCGATGATGGCGAAATTGATGGCCGATAAACATTTTTCTCGCAACCTCTCATTGCGTCAATCATTTGCTTTAAATCTTCTTTTTTTACGACAATTTTCATCCTCTTAACTCCATCTTCATTGGTCTGAGAAACAACTCCACCACTCACCAGAGAAATAGCTTCCATGAGATTGCTCTCCATACTTCGCTGAAATTGTTTCTGTGCTAGTGACTTCCCTTGGAAAACTTTTAACCCCATCTCTCTTATTCTAGTAAATATTGATCTACTTTGATGGATTTAGAACTCTCAATCCATTGATTCATATATATAGAGTTCTCCCACAGAATCTTTGTTCATCAATTGCAAGGTTGGCCTTTTGACTTCGATTAAAAAAATAGGCACACCCAAATGCCAACTCCCTAGCTACTATTCTCAATCAAATCCTGCATATTTTAAGGGAGTCAAAATCTACTTTAACATCTGAAACTTCAAGTTTCAATAATTGAAGCTTACTCAACTTGCTCGATTGAATTATGAACTAGTTATGTATTCATGATATGTACGAAAGAATAATTTAAATTGAAGGTAACGAAGGTGACCGACGGGGCGGCAACTAACATGCAAAGCCTAGTATTATGCTAGCTGGATTTCTTTAATGAGTTGTTGATGAATAAGTTGATTAGTTCTTTTTTTTTTTTTTTTTTTTTTATCACCAGGGGTGTTCGAGTCAGTTTGTATGTACTTCAACTAATTCTTGAAAACCTTAGAATTATCAGTCGGATAAAATTTTTAATGGTCACCCAATTAGTGTCTAGGGAGACTCAAATTTAAAAGCTCATAGAACCCTGGAATCTTTTTTGCTCTTTTATTCACCAGACTACTGAGTGGTGGTCAGTTAATTAATTCTTTAAACAAATGTTCATTATGCGGAGACCTGAAAAACTTGAGATTAAATTAGTTGGTTCTAATGCTGGGCAATGATTAAGATATATAACTAGCTATATAGCTGTGTATAATCTGTCGTTAGAAATATTTTAATTCTCCTAACCAACATTGATTCCTTTGTTTTGTTATCTAAAAATCAAGTGTTTGTTAACAGAATATTAATTAATTTGCTTAGATTACATTTACGGGTTTAGTTGCTTTCAATTAGATTTTGATGCATAATTTAGAGTCAGAATGTACTTTAACAATACCTTGAAACTTTAATTGCCAATAATTGAAGCTGACCAAAACTTTCTTGATTGAATTATCAATTAGTCATTCATGGTGTCAGATCGAAGTAATACTTGAATTATCGATACTGAGAAAATTTTGACAACTATGAAGTAGTAGAATCCATGTATTGCCTTTGCTTTCCCAAAGTATGATCCTCTTACTTTCTATAAGTTCTTAATCATTGATATAAAGGAAACTTTTGCATCTAGGAAAACTTTCGGCATAAACTATAATTATTCTTCCATGATATATATAATTCAATTAGAAGCGTCACAATATTTTTTTATAATAATAATTAACATAATTTTTTTTTTTTTTTTTTTTGAAAAAGGTAAATTTCATAAAAAAAGATAAATGATATAGAAACCAGGGGCATACCCCCAAAAGAGATCTAAAGAAAACCAAAACATATGTGTTCATTTTTTTAGACAAAAGGATGGAAACAAACACTCAAAAGGGAGCACACAGGCTCCAAACCAAGGAGGGAGATGGGCACAAACACTCTAAACGGAGCTTGCAAGCTCAAACCAAATAGAAAAGAGAAAACGGGCATAGACTCAGAACAAACAGCACCAATTAGTCATACAGGCTCCAGATGGCTCTAAGCTAATGTGAGGTTTCCAGTAAAAAAACAGAGAAAAATCAAGAAGAAAGTTTCTGGAAATTTGTATGTACTGAGCTTAAGAGAATACAAGTGTACAATAACACTTCTATAGTGCTTTGATAGAACTGAACAGTAACTAACTGTTAGCTTCTAACGGTAGCGACAAAATATTTAATAGAAACAGTGACTAAGCACTAACGGCTTGGCAAATCATTCATCCTTCACTAACATCTTCCCTCAAACAAGGCTGGGATTTGCCATTCTGACTTACTAAAGAAAGATCAAGGCGAATGAAGAATTGACTTGGGTATCAATAGTAGATTTTTTTAACCTCTGGGATGTTTTAATGGGTTAAAAGTTATGAATTTTATTTGGTTTTCTATGGTCTGATATACCAAAATGATTTTGCTGCAGGACTATGGCATTGATTTCGATGATGAAACTCATCCAATCAAGCATTCGACTGCAAGTGTGGAAGCTTTTTTTGTTGCATGAAGAATCGGTCTTCGCCTTAATTAGTTGAGCTTAAAGCCATATCAATACTGCTAGGATGATCAATTGTTTAAACAGTGAAAATTAATTGTTGTCGATTTTGTTAAATAAGCATCGGTAGGTAGTCCCTCGGTTGCTCGTATCCTTCACTGGCTTCCTTGTTTGAAACACAAAATGTGTATTATAGCCTAGTTAATACATTCCATTTCTTAGTTTTGAGACTCAGAAGATATCATAAGTGGCATTGGATTGAAATGAAAATCTCTATGCACTTTACAATAATCAATATAAAAGAACTGAGCAACAGTCTAAATTTGTATGACCTGAGAAACAACTCCACCGCTCACCATAAATAGCTTCCAGCTATGAGATTGCTCTCCATACTTCTCTGAAATTGTTTCTTTGCTAGTGACTTGCCTTGGAAAACTTTCAACCCCATCTCTCTTGTGCAAATATTTATCTATTTGATGGATTTAGAATTCTCTATCCCTTGAGTCATATTATAGAGTTCTCCCAGAGAATCTTTGTTCATCAATATTAGATTGGTCATTTGACTTCGATTAAAAAAAAAAAAAAAAAAAAAATGCACACCCAAATGCCAACTCTTTAACTAGTTGTTCTCAATTAAATTCTCTTTTATGAATATTTAAGAGAGCCAAAACGTACTTTAACTCTAAAGCATTAAGTTTCAAATAATTGAGTCTAGCTCAACTTTCTGATTGAATTATGAATTATTATTCATGATAGGCACGAAAGAATAATTTAAATTGAAGATGATGAAAGTGACCGACGCAGCGGCAACTCACATGCAAGCCCAGTATTATGCTAGCTGACTGGATTTCGTCATCAGTTGATGATAAATTAGTTAATTGTGACCAGGTCAATATGGAACATTATATATATGCTTTTAAAATCGAAGCTGCGACCCTGAAAGCTTGTAGACGTTTTGTGTATCCCTTTTCATGGGATATATTATCTATTTATTTAGTTGATCCAAATCCTGGAAAATGATTGAGCTAGATAGCTAGCTGTGTATAATCTGTCGTTATGAATATTTTAACCTTTCCTATGACCAACTTGATTCCTTTGCTTTGTTACTGTTATCTAAAAATTAAGTTTTGCTAAAAAAAATTAATTAATGTACGTGTTTAGTTGCTTTAATTAGATGGGTTTTTTTTTTTTGGAGTAAATAGTATTGTTAAAAGAGAGAAAATGTACATTAGTCCTCATTAAAAAACCGACCATCCTTCATCAAGACAAACCCTGGGAAAGAATAAAACAAACTTAATAGATTAAGAATCTAATATCATCTTTTTGTCTATCTTAAGTACGCAAAGGATAGAGAGACAAGAAGAGGAGTAAGTAAAGAATACAAAGACAAAAACAAAGACATCTTGCCATGGGACTGCCCTAGGATAAGATCTAAAAAGGCCTAAACAAGACTGAGAACAACTATATATAATATCATTCCTATCTTAGAACAAGCTTTGGATTAAGAAAACCTATATTCGTCGCATGCTTTCATTAGATGTTTAAGCTATTAGAGTCAAAATTTACTTTAAAATCTTGAAATTTATTTAGTTGCCACTAATTGAAGCTCACCAAACTTTCTTGTGTTTTTTATTTGCGTCGAAGTAAGGCATCTAAAGTCTAGATTGTGCAAGAAATGTTCAAGGATGTCAACAACAACCCTTGAGTGTTGCAAAAGGTGGAGTTCAAGTTCGAGCCACAGAGTCGAGCCAAGAGCGAAACGTAAGGTGGAATATGCTAATCAGTTTCGACCCACGACACCAGGTCACAGTCCAGGTGTTGGCCAATCCATCAATAATTGAACTTCTGAACCAGGGTGATTGAATTAATTAGCAAAACATGTACGACCAAAAAAGTATATGGCTATGTTTGTTTTCTATTCCTATCCTATTCTACTTAAAATATATATTTGTTTTACTATTCTCAAAATTTATCTTATTTTATTTAACTTAAAATATTTATTATTTTTAACCCTTTAAGTTTGTTAATAACTAAACACCTTCAACCAGATAGTCGTCATCATTCCGGTGACTTTGGTCACTCTCTGACGGTGATGGCCGACTGTCGACATTTAACAGTGAATAAAGTTATTTTGTTAATTTTAAAACTTTTATAGAGAGGGTGTTTACTAATTGATAAATATAAGAGATTAAAAATAATCTTATCAAACACATTTTCAAATTCAATTTTATCCTCGTAAAACTCAACTTTTTTAAAAATACTACTCAAAATAATAACAAACATACCTTTAATATGTTTATGGATTTTGGAAGAGGGTGGAAACGATCATATATATGAAATGAAATTGAAATTTATATATATTCTTTAGATGAAGGTTTGCTAGAGCAAACGAAAATAAAAATGATGAAACAGATTTTTTAGTTGTACTCATCTAAGATAAATTTTGAAAGAGAAACAGAAGATTTTATATGTTCTTCAACGCTATATACATCAATTTTTTTTTTTTTTTTTAATAACTGGGGGTGTCTGGACTAGTTTACGCGCATATGAACTAATCCATGAGACATTGAAACAGCCGTCGAGAGAACTCTAGTGTCTACCCTTACTTTAGTTTTTTTACTTCAACGTGCTGTAATGCATGGGATCGTATCGAAGAAAATAACTATAAAGCTATTTTTGAGTGGACATGGGAGAATGATAAGCAAAAAGAAAATAAGGTATTTTATTTTGCCTTCTTTTATTGAGGTCATATTAATTTGTTTGTATAATATTACTTTTCCAATAACTTTTTGGTAATTGATTCTTTTTAGCCAGACAGTGGAATCCATGAGGAGAGGTGCTTTGTTCATCCAGGAAGAAAAGGTGCATCTCTTTTCACTATATATCTTAAATCTGTTATATCATTCTATTTTATTGTATAATAATAAATTTTTTTTTTTTTTGAATTATTAACAATACTTGTTTTGAAGATTTTTGGTATTTTAGCTAGTCTTTTTACAATTTTTGGACTTCTGATTTTACTCGTGTTATCACGCTTTTTGTTACCTGTACCTAGAAATTAGAACCGAAGTTGGTGCACATTTTGGACGATGATGAATCTGAAGAGCCTGAACCTCCATTAATAAGGCGTAAAAGAAATCATACTGAGAAGGATAAAAGGTCGTCATCAACAGTGCATATGCAACTAGATGAAACTGCGCCTGAAACAAATGAACTTTGTCAACTATCTCTTGGAACAGTTGGAGACCTGAAAGGGGATAGGTCAGTGATCGGTGATACCAATTCTAATGGGAAAGCTTCTGTCTTTGAGAATGGAACTCCTGTTGTTTCGCAGACATTAGACTTGCACCAGAATTCTTATCATCAAGAGCTACAATATGAATCCCCTTTTGCTGTGATCCATCTAGGTACTACCTTACTCTAATACATTTTGATCATAGTAATGAATGACTTGTTAAGTTACTATTTTATCTTAAAGCTTAAGTTTTTAGATGAGAAAATATCATATTAATCTAAAAAGCCCTTTTATATGAAACTTGGATTTTTGTTTTCTTATTATAATGTTGAATATGGGGATTCAACATTATACTAATCCAATATAGCTTAATTAAGGTTTACATTAATGATTCTTTGAGTTGATGCCAAGTAATTTGTTTTAGTCAATAGAATTGACCACATGCAAGCATTTCTTCTTATCATTGACCACATGCTTGCATAATGATCATGTTCATTTGGATTGGAAAATAAACTTCCATTGGATCATGCATTTCTTCTTATCTTTGTTTTGTTTACGTTCTTGTACTACCAATTTTTGATATTTCAAAGAAAAATCTGTTGCAGATCAATATCTCACTAATGGCAAAAGCTCTAACAATCTTCAAACTCATGCTCATGTTGATGTTTGCAATGGTAAAGATGTTGGAAACTCATCTGTTGAAAGTGAAAAGAAGTTTGAGGGGTCTAATCAATCCAAACAATCTCCAAACTCATGCATTGGACTTCCCAAGTACACCGTTTTTATTGAAGATATAACACGAGGTGAGGAGAGCAATCCAATTTCATTGGTGAGCGACAGTGGTAGTAGCTCTTTGAAGTTGCCCAAGTTTTTCTACATATCAAGGAACATAATTTTCAAAAACGCTTATGTGAACTTTTCACTTGCACGAATATCCGATCATAATTGGTGTTCAAATTGTTCTGGAGACTGCCTCTTATCTCCGGCAAATTGCGCCTGTACCGGCGAAACTCGGGGCGACTTTGCTTACACAAGTGAAGGAGTGGTTGAGGAGAAATTTTTAGATGAATGTATAGGCATGAGCCAGAGGAAACCCAAGAAATACAATCTCTATTACTGCGAAAATTGTCCATTGGAAAACACTTCGGTTACAAATGGTAAGCACCAGAAACGAAAGAATCCCAAAAGGGCTTGTAAGGGGCACCTGATGAGAAAATTTATTAAGGAGTGCTGGGCTAAATGTGGATGCAGTAGGAATTGTGGAAATCGTGTTGTTCAGAGAGGAATTAAAGTGAAATTGCAGGTGTTCCAAACAGCCCAAGGAAAAGGATGGGGACTTCGAACACTTGAGGATATGGAGAAAGGAACGTTTGTGTGCGAGTACGTTGGTGAAATTGTCACAAATCAGGAACTACATGAACGCAATGAGGAAAGTTGGGGAGAGGAACATACGTATCCAGTGCTTCTTGATGCAGATTGGGCGTCAGAAAGACACTTGAAGGATGAAGAAGCACTTTGTTTGGATGCAACAAAATTTGGAAATGTTGCAAGGTTTATCAATCACAGGTACTACTCGTGCAATTGTAATTCTTACTCTTGTTTGAATTTGTGTGAGCATTTATATAACAAATTTCGTTGAAAATTTTCAGATGTAACGATGCAAACTTGGTGGAGATTCCAGTGGAAGTGGAGACTCCTGATCATCACTATTATCATGTATGAAATCCGAGTATTTCAAGAATTACATTATTTTATTAAAAGAAAATTATTTTATGTGGTATTATCCTAGTACTTATTATATCAGTTCATAATATACAAAATTTGACATAGTATTTCCTGTTTGTCTACTCTTTTTTTGCTTTCAAATGCAGATTGCTTTTTTCACAAGCAGAAAGATCAAGGCGAATGAAGAATTGACTTGGGTATCAATAGTAGATTTTTTTAACCTCTGGGAATGTGTTTAATGGGTTAAAAAGTTAATGAATTTTATTTGGTTTTCTATGGTCTGATATACCAAAATGATTTTGCTGCAGGACTATGGCATTGATTTCGATGATGAAACTCATCCAATCAAAGCATTCGACTGCAAGTGTGGAAGCTTTTTTTGTTGCATGAAGAATCGGTCTTCGCCTTAATTAGTATGAGCTTAAAGCCATATCAATACTGCTTAGGATGATCAATTGTTTAAACAGTGAAAATTAATTGTTGTCGATTTTGTTAAATAAGGCATCGGTAGGTAGTCCCTCGGTTGCTCGTATCCTTCACTGGCTTCCTTGTTTTGAAACACAAAATGTCGTATTATTTAGCCTGCAGTTTATACATTCCATTTCTTAGTTTTGAGACTCAGAAGATATCATAAGTGGCATTGGAATTGAAATGAAAATCTCTATGCACTTTACAATAATCAATATAAAAGAACTGAGCAACAGTCTAAATTTGTATGACCTGAGAAACAACTCCACCGCTCACCAGATAAATAGCTTCCATGAGATTGCTCTCCATACTTCTCTGAAATTGTTTCTTTGCTAGTGACTTGCCTTGGAAAACTTTCAACCCCATCTCTCTTGTGCAAATATTTATCTACTTTGATGGATTTAGAATTCTCTATCCCTTGAGTCATATATATAGAGTTCTCCCAGAGAATCTTTGTTCATCAATTATTAGATTGGTCATTTGACTTCGATTAAAAAAAAAAAAAAATGCACACCCAAATGCCAACTCTTTAACTAGTTGTTCTCAATTAAATTCTCTTTTATGAATATTTTAAGAGAGCCAAAACGTACTTTAACATCTAAAACATTAAGTTTCAAATAATTGAGTCTTATAGCTCAACTTTCCTGATTGAATTATGAATTAATTATTCATGATAGGCACGAAAGAATAATTTAAATTGAAGATGATGAAAGTGACCGACGCAGCGGCAACTCACATGCAAAGCCCAGTATTATGCTAGCTGACTGGATTTCGTCAATCAGTTGATGATAAATTAGTTAATTGTGACCAGGTCAATATGGAACATTTATATATATGCTTTTAAAATCGAAGCTGCGACCTGAAAAGCTTGTAGACGTTTGTGGTATCCCTTTTCATGGGATATATTATCTATTTATTTAGTTTATCCAAATCCTGGAAAATGATTGAGCTAGATAGCTAGCTGTGTATAATCTGTCGTTATGAATATTTTAACTTTCCTCATGACCAACTTGATTCCTTTGCTTTGTTAACTGTTATCTAAAAATTAAGTGTTTGCTAAAAAAAAATTAATTAATGTACGTGTTTAGTTGCTTTCAATTAGATGGGTTTTTTTTTTTTGGAGTAAATAGTATTGTTAAAAGAGAGAAAGAATGTACATAAAGCTCATTAAAAAACCGACCATCCTTCATCAAGACAAACCCTGGGATAAGAATAAAATACAAACTTAATAGATTAAGAATCTAATATCATCTTGTTTGTCTATCTTAAGTACGTAAAGGATAAGAGACAAGAGAAGAGGAGTAAGTAAAAGAATACAAAGACAAAAACAAAGACATCTTGCCATGGGACATGCCCTAGGATAAGATCTAAAAAGGCCTAAACAAGACTGAGAACAACTATATATAATATCATTCCTATCTTAGAACAAGCTTTGGATTAAGAAAACCTATATTCGTCGCATGCTTTCAATTAGATGTTTAAGCATATTTAGAGTCAAAATTTACTTTAAAATCTTGAAATTTATTTTAGTTGCCACTAATTGAAGCTCACCAAACTTTCTTGTGATTTTTTATTTGCGTCGAAGTAAGGCATCTAAAGTCTAGATTGTGCAAGAAATGTTCAAAGGATGTCAACAACAACCCTTTGAGTGTTGCAAAAGGTGGAGTTCAAGTTCGAGCCACAGAGTCGAGCCAAGAGCAGAAACGTAAGGTGGAATATGCTAATCAGTTTCGACCCACGACACCAGGTCACAGTCCAGGTGTTGGCCAATCCATCAATAATTGAACTTCTGAACCAAGGTTGATTGAATTAATTAGCAAAACATGTACGACCAAAAAAGTATATGGCTATGTTTGTTTTCTATTCCTATCCTATTCTACTTAAAATATATATTTGTTTTATTATTCTCAAAATTTAATCTTATTTTATTTAACTTAAAATATTTATTATTTTTAACCCTTTAAGTTTGTTAAATAAACTAAACACCCCCAACCAGATAGTCGTGCATCATTCCGGTGACTTTCGATCACTCTCTGACGGTGATGGCCGACTGTCGACATTTAACGGGTGAATAGAGGTATTTTTGTTAATTTTAAAACTTTTATTATAGGGGGTGTTTAACTAAATTAATAAATATAAGAGATTAAAAAATAATCTTATCAAACACATTTTCAAATTCAAATTTTATCCTCGTAATAACTCAACCTTTTTTAAAAATACTACTCAAAATAATAAAACAAACATACCTTTAATATGTTTATGGATTTTGGAAGAGGGTGGAAACGATCAATATATATGAAATGAAATTGAAATTTATATATGATTCTTTAGATGAAGGTTTGCTAGAGTAAACGAAAAATAAAAATGATGAAACAGATTTTTATAGTTAGTACTCAATCTAAGATAAATTTTGAAAGAGAAAACAGAAGAATTTATATATGTTCTTCAACGCTATATAACATCAATTTTTTTTTTTTTTTTAATAACCGGGGGTGTCTGGACTAGTTTACGCGCATATGAACTAATCCATTGAGACATTGAAACAGCCGGTCGGGAGAGAACTCTAGTGGCTACCCTTACTTTTAGTTTTTTTACTTCAACGTGAAGTTTTCTAACAATAAATTTTAGAATGGTGCTAAAAAAACCTCACCAATTATTTAATTAATCTGCATTTTATATAATTCCATTTGGTAGTTTTGAGACTCAGAAGATACTATAGTTGGCACTTCATGACAATGATCAATATACCTGAACAATTAGCTTAGTTTGTATGAAAGAGTAAATTGTTTTTCTTTACAAAAGGAGAGAAAAACAGCAAGAATGTGAAAATTAAAAGAGATCTCAGATTGATGGGAGTCACATAATGTAACATGTTAAATATTTCAGTTAATTTAGTACTTCGGCTTAGATCTCCTCAGCGATGCTATGGAGGGCAGGACGCCAAGTGCGTCTTCGGCTCTCCTTTGACGCTCTTAAGAGATGCCTTCTCTTCAAAAGATTCAATCTTTTTTCTGCAACCAATGGCGATGATGGCGAAATTGATGGCCGATAAACATTTTTCTCGCAACCTCTCATTGCGTCAATCATTTGCTTTAAATCTTCTTTTTTTACGACAATTTTCATCCTCTTAACTCCATCTTCATTGGTCTGAGAAACAACTCCACCACTCACCAGAGAAATAGCTTCCATGAGATTGCTCTCCATACTTCGCTGAAATTGTTTCTGTGCTAGTGACTTCCCTTGGAAAACTTTTAACCCCATCTCTCTTATTCTAGTAAATATTGATCTACTTTGATGGATTTAGAACTCTCAATCCATTGATTCATATATATAGAGTTCTCCCACAGAATCTTTGTTCATCAATTGCAAGGTTGGCCTTTTGACTTCGATTAAAAAAATAGGCACACCCAAATGCCAACTCCCTAGCTACTATTCTCAATCAAATCCTGCATATTTTAAGGGAGTCAAAATCTACTTTAACATCTGAAACTTCAAGTTTCAATAATTGAAGCTTACTCAACTTGCTCGATTGAATTATGAACTAGTTATATATTCATGATATGTACGAAAGAATAATTTAAATTGAAGGTAATGAAGGTGACCGACAGGGCGGCAACTAACATGCAAAGCTGGATTTCTCTAATGAGTTGATGATGAACAAGTTAATTAATTCTTTTTTTTTTTTTTTTTTTTTTATCACTAGGGGTTTTGGATCAGCTTATGTGCATTTCAACTAATCTCTCAAGACCCTAAAACTGTTTATCGGATAAAAGCTCTAGTGGTCACCCCATTAGTGCTTGGAGAGACCCAAACTTAAGAACTCATAAAACCCTGAAATCTTTTTTACTCTTTTACCATCAAACTACTTAGTGGTGGTTAGTTAATTAATTCTTTAAACAAATGTTCATTAGGCGGAGACCTGAAAAACTTGAGATTAGATTAGTTGGTTCATATGCTGGGAAATGATTGAGATATATAGCTAGCTATATAGCTGTGTATAATCTGTCGTTATGAATATTTTAATTCTCCTAACCAACATTGATTCCTTTGCTTTGTTATCTAAAAATCAAGTGTTTGTTAACAGAATATTAATTAATTTGCTTAGATTACATGTACGGGTTTAGTTGCTTTCAATTAGATTTTGATGCATAATTTAGAGTCAGAATGTACTTTAACAATACCTTGAAACTTTAATTGCCAATAATTGAAGCTTACCAAAACTTTCTTGATTGAATTATCAATTAGTCATTCATGGTGTTAGAAGTAATACTTGAATTATCGATACTGAGAAAATTATGACAACTATGAAGTAGTAGAATCCATGTATTGCCTTTGTTTTCCCAAAGTATGATCCTCTTACTTTCTATAAGTTCTTAATCATTGATATAAAGGAAGGTTTTGCATCTTGGAAAACTTTCTTCATAAACTGTAATTATTCTTCCATGATATATATAATTCAATTAGAAGCTATCACATTATTTTTTTATAATAATTAACATAAAAAATCTTTTTTTTTTTTTTTTTGTTAAAAGGTAAATTTCATAAAAGAAGATAAACTATACAGAAACCAGGAGCATACCCCCATAAGAGGTCTAAAAAATACCAAAACAGATATGTCTATCTTTTTAAACAAAAGGACGGGAACAAATGCTCAAAAGGGAGCACGCAGGCTTCAAACCAAGGAGGAAGATGGGTACAAGCACCCTAAACGGAGCTTGCAAGCTCAAATCAAATAGAAAAGAGAAAACAGGCACAGGCTCAGAACAAACAATACGAATTAGTCATACAGGCTCTAGATGGCTCTAAGCTGATGTGAGGTTTCGCGCAAAAAGACGGAGAAAAATCAAGAAGAAAGTTTCTGGAAATTTGTATGTACTGAGCTTAAGAGAATACAAGTGTACAATAACACTTCTATAGTGCTTTGATAGAACTGAACAGTAACTAACTGTTAGCTTCTAACGGTAGCAACAAA